TGTCAAAAAAGTGTACTTTTATGTGTACTTTTAGTGTTACTTTTGTATAGGTGTGCAGATGTTGGCTCTCCTGGCATAACCCATTTAAAAGTTAATAGAGCGCGCCCATACTTTTGCCCAAACCCTTATGTGTCCGCGAGCATAACTCGAGTAATTGTGGTCCGATTTTGATGAACTTTGGCATGAACGTGTAGGGAGGCAAACTTAAATGATTTCGCGAACCAGCAAGATCGGGGATCGGGCTGTACCAACAGAGTGATAAGGTGTTTTTAAGTTTTCAAAACTGTTTTTATGTTTCCCCTTGAAACATGGAAATGCCAAATTTTCCATTACAGTTATCGAGTAGAACCTAAAACCAAACCATTTAGTTAATTAAAGCACTGTTGTACAAAGGGTACAGATGACAAATCAAAAATACTGTATGCCTACATTTAAAATTTATATGTTACTCTTATGGAGAAAAAGAAAACAGTTTTCTTGCTTATGTGTATTTGTCAAAATGTATTTATTTCATACTATATTATTAACATTAAAAAACACACACTTTTCTCTTCCCCGTAACAGCAAAAGCTAAGCAATCGTAAAATCTAACGTTATTAAAAGGGAAATAAATACAACTCGTTTATGGAAATAATCCAAACAGATTTAGGTAAATAGAAATTCACTTAGTCTGCAGGTTTGCTGTGGCGGGGGCATTTATAATTTTTGTCAACCAATGGGATCACAAAGCTATTAGGGCCTAGAGGTATTCCTGTTTACTGTACGGCATTTCATCCAACGTCATCAGACCTGCTTGTAAATAGTGGATCAGATTACGATGAACCCATCGTACTATGGATGCCTAGTCAGCACAAAACTTACTACACTACTACTGACACAATGTCGAATTAATCTAGGCCTGCTCTCAACAAACATATAAACAGACTGTGAGAAGAAGATAAATTATAGAGATCATCAAACAATTTAGTTTGAAAGCAGCATTTATGTTTAGTTTGTATTTCAACTGATTGAAAATATGCATCTGAAAGTATTTATGGTCCTCACACGTTTCGCTAAAGATTTCTGGGGGAGGTTTAGGGAGGGGTGTGTACAACCCGAAATTTTAGAGTAACGCACGATTTTAAACAGACCAATTGAAATATCCTTTCGAGGAATCAATAATGCTAATGTATTTTAATTTTTTCTATCAGCTCACAACCTTACTTATACGCATTCATACATATTGTTAACATTTTTATGGTTAGTAACATATCTATTAGACCATCCACTCAATTTTAAATATTTGTTAACAAATTTGTATTATTTGAGAACTTTTAGTTATTATTACTTTTTAATAATTAATGTTTATTTCAGATGAGGAAAACGAGAAAAATTCAAAGAATACAATTCCTACATTGGGTAAACTAGTTTTTAAATATGCATTGTTTTAACCGAACATCTGAACCAAACTTATTTCTACATTCACTGTAGTAACCGATAACGTCCTATATACATCCAGTCATATCAGTGTTTTGAATGGTATTTTGAGAAATTGGATTCAGTTTTTCAAACAGCTTTAGAATTTTAATTAGCAGATGAAATAACCCCCCTCTATGTACCACAATAAAATCTTCACATATAGACTCAATAGTAAAGGGATAGAAACTGTAAATATTATGCCCGGTAAAAAAGAAACCCCTAACCTGAAAACCTGTTTGAAATGTTAAAAAATATTACGATTGACGGGGAGTTTTTTTGTCGGCAGAGTATTCCTTTGTAAACTAAAAGACATTCAATATTAAAATAATGTTTTGGTTAAAATAGTTCGATTTTATAACACACATAGGAGTACGTACATTAAATTGTATAACGAACGCAGCAGAGGTATTATGAATACTTGCCCACAGCAGGGGTGGGGGAGGGGTGGTATCAGTGATAACAGCTGTACGACCTTGACCTTGAACTGTGCGGAGTACAGACCCGACGCGCTGGTAGAGTAGTTCTGGCTTACAACCCGCAGTTCAAAACTGCCCCGCACTGAAAACCTAAAAAAATATTCGTTTCGTGTTTGATAAGTGTAATGTATGTTCTATGATCTAAAAGGCTGATAAATAATGAATTATTGGGTAAAAGGTTTAAGTATATTTAAGGATTAAAACGTTTGAATGAGAAATATAGGTGGGCAAGTAGGCCATATAATGGTATATAACAATTAAAACAAATTTACTAGAAAAAAGTTATGAGTAAGGAAGGTGTTAATAGCCTAAAAGTTATTACTATTTTGGTAGCATTTTTGGGTAGATAGTATGTGTTTAATATGAGCTTACAACATTTATTCAATGATTTGTTATAGCTGTTTGTGTGTTAATTTGAATTTAAAATTATGTCCCTACCATGTGTTTTTATATTTTACAATTATTTTACGTTTTACTATCTGCGACCTTGAGACTTCAATCATATTATATACATTCCAGGATGAATTGTTGTTGTGATTTTACCAAAACAATTACACCGATTTTTATAAAATCTTGTTTTTAACATATGACTAAGTTAAAAGCAAATCCGTATTATTTTTTTTATCTGAACGTGAGGAAAGTATTTTACTCCATAATAATATTGGCAGTTGCTTCTTTTACATATAATTTTAGCATAACACCAATTTTAGTAATGAAATCCGCCTTGAGATAGAAAACAATCGTTTTGGATGTAAATTAAACCTTTTTGTAAGGTGACATGTTTAAGGAGTAGCCAATTACAAGATTTTAATACAGTGTTACAGTAAGAGTTGATTGAAACTAGATTAAGACTTACTTTTGATCTAGTTTCAATTAATCCTTACAACATTTGACGATTTCACAACAGGAATTTTAATCTGAATTTGATAGTCGTTGATTAAAACCTTGCAACCCCGATAGCTTAATCAGTGTTGCTCAACAACTCACAAAACTGGCTACGTTTTAGAAATATGCAGTCTTTGTGTTTGAATCGTTTTGTCGTCCCGCTGGTATCGAACCGATCGACCTTGGAATGGTAGCGATTTGACCCCGCGTGTTCCAATACCCAAAAGAAATGCATTGTTTCAGGCAAGCTACAAACGATCGCGTTTATCAAAGTTTACCGGATTCCAAAGCATATTTTCGAATGTTGACAAAATAGTGATTGCGTCAGATCGGCGTTATTTGATAATTTCACCTCATTTGTCCATCGGTTTGTAGTCGAGTCAAGGCTTCCGAACTAAGTGTTAGTCAAGGGCATCAGGTTTGACATATCGACATAACCACGGACATACTGACATAATGTCAAACATATTAGTTAAGTTTTAGTATGTCAAGTCAAATGTTACTTCAACTTAATCTAGTTATGTTTTATGCCTATCAACGACATATTTGGTCACATCAGACATAGTGACATAATGCCAAACATGTTAGTCAAGTAGTAGTAATATCAAGTCATACGTTACTTCAACAGAATCTAGTCATGTTTTATGCCTATCAACGACATATTTGATCACATCACATCCAATCAAACATATTGACGTTCATGTAACCACCATGTCAAACATGCTTACATTATGTCTTAGATTTTAATGTGTCAGGATACCAAATGTTAGACGTGCTAACATAATGTGGGACAAAACTGAATTGCTTGGATAGTGGAATAAAATGTACTGACAGTTGTTTTACGATTCTCTGCTAAACTTAAGCTTTTGGTATATCCATTAGAACAAATATTTCATTTATTTGGATTGTGAAAAATTCTTTCTTTTCTTATTTGCTAATTTGTGTCTTAATTGTGAACGTAAAAGGAGGAAACTTTGGTAATTTATACTGATCGTTGTTCTCAATATTTTGTTCGTAAGTCTTATAACACTTCAAGTCAATCAGTAAGATAAAGTCTAAGTGAACTATCTATGTTTATAGGGCTTACTTAACTGTTTAATTATATTTATAAGGCACCGACATGTAAGGTTATTGTTTAACGTTGAGTATGAACAAAATTAATATCATTCATTATTAAATGAATGAGAGGATAATTTATTTTGCTATGACGCATATAGCAGCAAAATTAATCTGAAGGATATCCTTTAGTTGACTATCACATGTAAACAAAAGAAGACCATTCAACCAGAAATAAGTGTTGTAAACCTTTATTTGTCAGAGTGTGCGTTTAGAACGCTTCCTTTACAGTTTATTAGATGGAACCTAGTGATATTGATTGAATCGTTCACATATTCATAATAAACAATTTCTTTTTCAATAAATTGGTCAATTAATCTATTTTTTCGTCTTCAAGCTATTTCTGAGAGTTCAAGAGAACAATTTAAGACTGACTTGTTTTTAGAATGAGTCATGTGCCAATGTGACAACAAATGCAATCAATCAACTTTAGGACTACTGCTAATCAAATTGATAAGAGTCGACCCTGTATATGTTTAGGATTGTTTGTATGCTGTAGAAATCAGTCCGCGAAGAAAAGCAATACCCGACTGATGTCGACTCGCAGTCTATCCCCGCGACAACTGTCACCCGCGAGTTGGGACTTTGATTTCGTCCGGAATTTCGAGTTCTTTAATTAATTTCTACTTCACTACCGGGCCAGCGATCCGCCTGGCGTGGGTGTACCGTGGTGCTATAAGGGAATAGAAATTTCAATCGAGGCAATTTGTAAGTGAGTGTCGGAGTCGGTAAGTAAGGAAGGGAAAGTAGAAATGTATTCGCATGTAGTAGCCGTAGCAGCGGCGCGCCCCGACCCCCGTGGACAGGGAAGTGTGTGGAACGCGGAGTGCGGAGTGCGCAAGTACCGAGGGAACAGACTAAAAGAACGGGTTAAACGGCCGCGGCGAAGAGGGTAGGAAAGGGTTGTCGAGGCATCGGATGCTGACGGAGATAGAGAGGGAAAGAAAAACGAAAAGAAAACGTAAAAATGTGGCGAAGCGCGCACGACTTCTAGTGTCGCAGAGTTTGCGCCGGGTTCGATTTTTTCCCTCTCTCTTCGGTCCGGGGTAGAGGGGATAGCCGGGTCGGGGATGTGGGGAGTGCGGGGTGCGGGGCGGGGAGCGCGGTTTGGTCGCGAGCCGCTAGGTGGCAGGACGGGTCGGGCGATCTCAGACTGACGTGCGCGCGACAAACATCCCGATCCGACACCAGTCACTGCTGATACGTGGTAGGGTGACTACGCTCCCCCGAGCTCCGCCACGGCGACTACACACGACAACTTCGCTCGCTACACATCAGTCTACTGTCAACCGCCGCCGCAGTCGCTGCCGCACAGTTCGCATTCTACTTTATACATTTTTATTATTTTAACTTTAAAAAAGTATTAACTTAACTTTTTCGGAGAAAATCAAGAGGATCTTGGAAGATACTGCAGACGAAGGGTGGAATGGTCATCGTCGATCGAGACCGGCTGTCAACACCGAGGAGACGCTGACAACGACGTCGACCCATCAGTGATTCTTCGCCTCTGGACTGTCAGACACTTGTCAGTGATTATCAGTGATTTGCTAGTGATCTGCGATATCAGTGAGTGTTCGTGTTATAGGGACCGATAGTCGATGAGCGTAAGCGCGGTTCGGACCGTCAGGCTTTTCGCCACGCCCCGAAGATAAGAGCTATCGCTATCGGCAGACATGACTTAGTAGGTATCCCGAAGTGATGGATATTCAAGCGATGCAGTCGATGGACTGGCTTTTCAAGAAAGAACGAATCTACCTGTTGGCGCAATTTTGGCAGCAGGTGAGTCCGCCAATTTTTTTTACACCTTACAAAATTGATGATAAGAAAATCGGACTCGCGAGGAATAGGAAAGGACAAGAACCACGCGGTCTAGTAGCGAGAGCGGGTTATTCGCAAGTGTCAGGGGCGATGTTGACGCGTCGCGAGCAAAGTTTGTCCGCACCAAGTAGCCGTGTCTCCTATAATCGCGGTCACCACATTTAACTTCACACTGGCGTGATCCATCTAAAGTAAAATTTATTTCAAACTAAACATAAACACTGCTAAATATATCATGTGAAGTGTAAACATTTAAAAGTGACGAATCATATATAATTAATCCATTTTCGATCATTATCATTATAAATATTTATTTTATATTTTAATAACTCTTAAATATTCTATAAGATTTACTATAATCATGATTTAAATCTTTCAAGACCTTGAGAATATTTTTATATAATAACTGACAAAATAAAAAGTTTAAATACATATTTTTAGCTTGAATCAATGAGTTGAAGAAGACAAATCGGAAAACTCTTTAACAAAACGTGAAGTGATCAAAGATTGTTGAACTTGGAAAATGTGTACGTGATATAGTGAACTTGTCCGTACAATAGTTTTCCAAAGTTAAAAGTGCTTACTAACCGGGGGTTCTGGTATCTGAACATGAGTCAAAATTGTGCGCGTCTGTGATTGTGTTTGTGTAGTGCTTGTCTAGTGTTGTGAGTGTGTGAGTGCAAGAGACAATTGGCAAGACCTCATAGTACAGTACAGTATAGTACGTGAATATTAACAAGTGTCCGTACTAATTCCCCAACCATGTTCAGGCGTCAAAACCGCTACCCTGCTTTTCCCTAGTTTCGATAAATTTTCTAAATTTCAATATTTTCATAAAGTTATAGTAAAGAGGAAAAGTATTTGAAGACAGTTTATATAAATAATACTTTGATAATGTTACAATCATGAAACTTTTTATTTTATTTCTCAATCAAAGTTAAATAAATAAGAAAATCTCATTATTTAAAATCATTAAGCATCAAGACCTCAAGAGAATATATAAAATGATTAAATATTTGAAAAGTTTGTAAAATTTGTAAACTTAAAATAATGTCTTCTCATAACTTCAAGTAATTTAAATATAACTGTTACTGATATTTTGCTTTAAATATTATCATGTTTTTATAATTGCCAATCCACACCGAAATGGAAGAAGATATGTCATCCACACCAGTGAATGTTTATTTTGTGACTAAAAAAGTGCTTCATTTTTACAATCAGAAATATTTTGATATACATTGAATGAACGTGAAACCCCTCTTATCAATTATTTATATGTGTTTGTGTTAAAGTTTCGGTGTAATTAATATATGTTATTGTTCGGTGATACAACTGACTCATTATGAACATGAACTCTAACTGATTATTATTAAGATCGTTTATTATGAATCGTTTATAACTAGTGATTTGTGTAAAATTGAAGATAGCAACAGTGAAGTAGTGAAAGTTAGTATTACAAAAACAATTTTAGAACGTTTTAACAAGAATAGTGGTAACGTGATTTGACTTCAAGATATCTAAACATTCACTAAGTTGAACCTGTTATGAACTCAAATAGTGCTGATTCGTGCAAATATAAGATACTTTGTACAAGAGGAGGAGTTTCAGGAAGAAATAATTTTTATTTTGATAAAACGTAGTTCCGTAATTATTGAAATATTTGCAATAAGGATAATGAATCATCTTAAATATTTTGATATTTCACATATTTTATAAATTTAAACATATAATGTTAAGAAGAGGAGCAACAGAAGAATATAAATTAAATATAATTCTATATTTTTTCTAGTTTAACTTGATTGAAATATTAAATACGCCTACCGTTACGATTACGTAGAAACATTCCGTCACTTATATTTTTGAAGATTATTTATGTTGGAAGAACTTTCTTTTACACTTTATAGTCAATACTTGATTCTTCGCACAAACTCCATCGACTACGGCAACGTTCTTCAAGGAAGAAAATGGAGCAACTTTTTGCAAACGGAATATAAAATGTCGAATATTTACGTTTTTTATCGTTCCAACTTAAGAAGTTGCGCATTATAAATACTTTGCATAACATTTAATTCTCAAGTTCATTTGCATTTAAATAGTAAATTCAATTTGCCTACATTTATATTTCATATAAATAACTTATAATGAAGTGCCAACGCTTTTTTCATTTCTGTGGTATATATTTTATAAAGTTTCATTCTTAGAAGAATTAGTTACTGTATACTATGCTGAAAAAATCTAACTGCAACAATCATCATTGATTAACTATCGTTTGACTTGCAGTGTTTTCATATACCCGTTTATACCGCTAAAGGAAGAAAATTCAAATTGAAAAGGAAAATAAGAAGGAAGTATCGTCCGCCTCTAGACTAATGGAGTACAGTATATAAATTCAAAGCAATTTCCAACTTTTTAAAAATCTTTTAACAATTAATATTTTTGCAAAAAACATCATTTGTTGAATTGCAAAGGTTTTAATATATTTTAAATTTAAATTTGTCCATAGCATTTTGTTGTTTGGGACTGTTCGAAAACAATTTAAGTGAAACTAAAAAAATATATGAAAACCAATTTAAATGAAATAGAGAAGAATCCATATTATATTCTGAAGAGGATACTCAATATTCTTTCACGTATTTTTATAACTAAAATATAAAAGATTTTACTATAACTCAATATTTGTAAATAATAATGCCAAAATTCAATTGCATATTCTTTTTACTTCGCTACAGTACGCTTATACTTTTGACTTTTCAAATTCAGTTGAGTTATATCTAGGCCTAATTTGATTTATTTTGATTGCTTATTACATGATTGTACAAATAAAATGCCAGCTTTAGTACATTTTTGTGTGAAAATAAACAAAACATCCCAATACTTTTCCTTCCTCTTACTGTAACAATGCTCTTGAACTAACTTACAGGTTGAACACATACTAACATATTGAAACAAAAAACCTTTGACACAAACAAAAATCTACTAATATTTTTTATTAAGAACTTTCACAATTTGGATCACGCCATTAGCAGCGTTTTTGAACGAGTTTGAAAACAAAAACAGAATAATCGGATCGCTGGTGTTAGGAAATTGATTGTAGATTCAATTTGACGTCGAAAATAAGAACGAATTCCGCAGGCAGGTTTGCCGACGGCGATCTTTCCGGGACTCGCGGTTTTGTGGACTTTGAATGCGATTTAAATCTAATTTCACATTATTTTATTTAAAAATAAATAGGTAATGAAAACATTATCAAACTTTTTTCTTCAATTCTTTACTGTACGTTTGTTCCGTTTAATATTTTTATTTAAATAGCAAAATTCTTCCAGGAGACCATTAAACATTGCCTTCTAAAAACTTTACGAAATTACTAATGATTTATTTACCACACATATTTTTTCTTTTCGTTTAAAATCGTTGGGTTGATAACTAAAGATTTCATTAGGTTCTGTGTGGCAACAAACTTACTAGAGTACCCTCTCAATGTCAATGCCAAAGTTTAATGCTATCATATTTTGTACAAAATCGGCATTATCACATAATATATTACGTAAATAATTAGATTATTAGTTACTAAAAGTTTTTATTAACTTTTTTGCCGTGTAAAACTTATTTTTCGTTGTTTCTTTGTGCTATGCAACATTTATTTTGGTAGCAGTCTCAATTAGTATTCAAGAAATAGCGCAGATTGCATACAATTGAAGTAGGTCTAATATGTGTACATGTATGATTTGAACGTTGAAATAAAGGTTAGGACTATAGTATGAAATATTTTCCACGCCCTTTTACAACAAATAATTGCATCAAAATGGTTTTGTGGAGTAATCAACAATGTTCAGTAATTGGTGTAATACGATGTAGCCTTGGCCGGACAGAATAAATACATTCTAAGAAATCTTACGTTATTTTTCGATATTCAAAAAACATTAGTATGTCAATAAATTTTCTACTTTCAATACTTTAAATACTTCTACCGAGTTTTGGATGAACATTCTTGACTTCAGATAGAGTTTATATAAGTATGAATCCTCTAGCTAGCAAAATATGTGCTTTCACGAAACTATATTGTCATCGCGAAAACAACAGTTACTGAGAAGTGTTTAACATTGGTAGTTGTATCTGTAGACATTGTCACAAAAGTCTAAATCTTTATTCAATCCAGGTTTCAAATTAGAAAAGTCTGCCAGAACAATGCGATTCAAGGGTTGTTCGGAAACACTTCCCCGTTGTGTTTTGATGTGGTCACAAATGTAGGGTTTGGACCGCATCTACGATATCAGGGCATTGCTACAAGTGGGTGTATAGGAAGTTGATAAACGAACAACTAAAGTTGATGACCGATTAATTCATGCTCTCGTTTCCTATTCAGAGATATATCATAAAATATTGTAGTATAACTAAGTTCCTCTTTGTTGGAATCATATTTTATGTTACCGGTATAGCAACTTAATATTGCAATTGGAAACATAGTCGACTAAATCACCAACACATGACTTTAATATTATTATCCCGACACTAATATAATTCTTTTTTTATAAACTATTTAGTTCAGGACTTTACTAAAATCTATAAATACATAAAGTGTTATAATAATTTCAATGCCAGGGCCTCAATACTTATTTCTTAAGGATACTTCATTTTTATCATCATACTTTTTTGTTAAAAAAGGTTAAATAAAACTGTAATTTTTGTGAGATTGTAAACTTTTTTGTCTACGAAATAGTTATTTCACAAATTTCTTTTATTTGATGCGAAAAGTCTATCCTTCTATCACTAAACAAACTTGAACAAACTAACTCGTCAAGTGTTGACGGCAGCGGCTTTAACAATGTTGTGTTTTGTTTGTCGACAAAATCCCCAAACACCGGGACCCAGAAAAGCATTCGTGTGGTCTAGCGAGGGGCAATACAAAAAATGATATCGGAAAAGGCATAACAGCATCCCTTGGGTACTCAGGTAGCTTGCTT